ATCACTCTCCAAAATGATGAATATAGATATTGTTCTAGATCACACCATATCGATTATAATCAATCATTATCTCTAGTTCAATGATCTTTTTCAAGATCACAATCACAAGAGAGATCATCAACACATAATAGAAGATCATCAAATCAAAATCATACACATAATCAAAGTAGTATGTATATAAAGGCTTTTTTTTTTAACAATTTACAATTTGCCATTGAAATTTTTTTTTTTTTTTTGAAATTTTTTTTTTGAAAATTTTTTTTTATTGTTACATTAAGCAAACTATGACCACTCTGATTGCTCTAACTGCCCTGACCACTCTGGCCACTCTGACCACTATAACCTTCATGACCACTATAACTATCATGACTACTACTAGTATCATCAACAAGTTGATAAGCAAATGTTCGTTCAACTTAAGCATTTATATTTAATGCTCAAAAGACTTGAGGAAAGTACAAATAAAATTAAAGCCAAACTAGGTTGTCTAGAAAGAAATCAAGAACAACAAGAGAATGATCTCTTTGCACAAGTAATAGATGTAAGTGTTTTGGGTTAGCAACAATTTAGATCTAGCATGTTTAAGTGATATATAGTATCTAGAATCTAGTATATTTAAGCAGTATATAGCATCTAATATGTAATACATATATTGTTTTTTAAAAATATAGAATGTGTTTACCTATGTAGCCATGCAGCTCTTTCTGTATAACATATATTCTAGTCAACATAATTTGAAGAATATGCTCAAACAATGCCTTGAAGAAAGGTATCCTGAGTTTATATATAGTTTAAGTTCAAATTAATATACCAATAGATTTCATGAAGAATGCTTTAGCCCTATATGTATCGATATCTATTGTTTTTTAAAATTTATTTCTTTTAATTATAACTTATTACTAATTTTTGCATTTTTGCAATAGCTTTTGCAAAAAATAAAAAATTTGCAAGATGCATCAGTTCAAAATATAAGGGCAGCAGTTTGATGCATGTTTGGTTATGAAAGACTACTATCATTAAAAAAAAGCTACACTAGCTGATATAGTAAGTTGAAAGCAAAATGATGAAGTTTTGGATTGTTATTATGCACTCTTTAAAATGAATAATGAAGGTGTCTTTTGGATATTAATAATCGTGAAAGCAGCCTTTTCTGAGATTGCTATACCTATATTCTCAAATAAGCATTATGCTTTTATGCTTGCAGTCTGTGATATTTTACTTAATCTCAAGTCCAAAAGTGTCATATGTTCGAAAAAACATCTTATGCATTGTATCGAAAGATATCTTGTAAGTGCTATTAATAACTGCATATGCTTTATTAATAGTAATTAATTAATTATTTTTTAATATAGAATGATTTCAGTAATAGTGATCCATTATATGAAACAGTCGAATCGATACTAAACAATGAGAAACATGGTTGTTTAAAACAAGCATTGTCCTAGTATAAACTGTCACCTCAGTATAAACCATTGCTCTAGTATGAACCTGAAGCAGGTCCTTTATCATTTCAGCAATCATCTCAACATCAAATAGAACTTTTACAGAAGGATGCTAATGACTTATTTGGTTGCAATGATTAAATTTTTGCTTTAAATGTTTTTTTTAAATTAGTTTACATTTGCTAGCAGTTATTATGTAATAAATTATAATAAATTTTATTATTTGCATTATAATATAATTATACAATTTTAGTAACAGTAATAAATTTATATTATGTATTATAATTGGCTTTATAAAAAATATATGTTTTATAAATACCTTATTAGTAATATCATTTATTAAAAAAAAGTACTTGATTAAACTAGTTATATATCGATTGATAACCTTATTAGATATATATTGATTGTTTAAAGCTAATTATATATTAGTTTATATCAAAATTAATATAACCTAGCAGGGGTGATTAATATCAATATATATCTAATAGGTTATCAATCACTATATATCTCTATATAAAATTTTCTAATATAAGGGTAGTAACCAAATCAAGATAGTAATAGACCAAATAATAGACAAGGCAGAAAAAGATAGATCAAAAATAAGTGAATGCAAATTAAAAGGTCTTGCAATAATAGAAGAACTAGAGGTGGAAATCATTAAGTGACAAAAACTGGAAAAAAATATTAGTCAAGAAATAACAAAAGTTCTAAGAAGAAACATTATGAGAAACAAGAATAAATATATAATATATACTAATAGCATAGCCAATAGAAAGAATAGTAAAAAACCATTGTCTAAGAACAATATGGATATCAGATAAGTTCAAACAAATGAAACACAAGAATGGCCAGAAGAAGAGTTAGTATTTGGACTAGAGATAATGATTGATTATAATCGATATGGTGTGATCTAGAACAATATCTATATTCATCATTTTGGAGAGTGAT